GTGAGTTCCAGCTCTGATGATGTCCATCATGTGATTTACGAAAGCTCAGCCTGTTTTCACCCGAAGCAAGAGAAGATGTCTCTAGGACTACGTCAACCTGAACGTCGTATTAAAGCCAAACGCCTGCAATACAACGAGATTCATCGGTCATATTTTGGTAAGATCAACCTACGTATCTCTTCTTCATGCACTTTCATGCGAAATGAAGGCTTCCCCAACAATACTACCAGAGGAATTGCAGATAGGCCGAATAAACTGGACTGATAGTCCATTTTTTACACAATGATACGAATACATAATCCTTAGGTAAAACTCGGACCTAATAACTTTATTTATATGTGGCCAATAAGTGTTAAATCGGTCTTAGATATTGTTCTTGTGGTATGACTTAGTCCAGCCATTCGGGAAATTTAATGTCTCATTATTCGATATTCACTTGCAGTGGCATTTCCAATTGTAGAACTTCAGGGCCTCATTGAATGAGCCAATGTCAGGCTCATTAAATGAAAAGCTCGTAGACGCGTGCTTTGAGTGAGAGAGTTTACGAATAACTTTACAGAGAAACAAACAATACGAAAGAGCTTCTTTTTCATCCCTGGCTTAGGGATAATCCTACAACTGTACCTTGTTCTTCCTTCATATTATTGTCCTTCTTATCCAAATCTACCATTTCTAGCTAAACTGGATCGGCAGGGCTGAAGACCTAGAAGTATGTGATTCTCCTCTGGATGCTGGAGCCGACTCGTCTGTCGCTGCTACTTATGCCTGCTCTTCTACGGATCGTGGTCTGGTTAGTGAGAGTGACCAAAGCGAGGGTACCCAAGAGGAGGACGAGGAAGAGGAGAGAAATAACAGTTCTGCATGCCCAGGATCTTCGCACTCCCATCTCATCCCAATGAATCCTTCTGGAGTTGTCGACTCATCTTCCGCCTCCGGGTTGTCTGCTGTCAGAGACAACACCTCCAGTTCGACTTCGTTTAGCTCAAGTGTCAGTGAGGAAGATAATGACGAGGAGAGGGAAGTCAAAGAGCAGGGCGCTGGGTCAGTCGGGAGTCTAAGCTACGCCGCCAACACAGCGACAAATCATAAAAGTGGAGAAAATAAGGATTTCGAGTCGATACTCTGCGCCGATCTCGATAAGCCCCTGGCACAGCCAGATACGGAATTGTGTCGGTGCCGAGTCAGGCGTAACCCCTTTCCCGGGCCCTCTTGTTTCAGAGCAACCAGAAATCGACGAATGCAGGGTATGAGTGATGGTTTATCAATAAAGTCTGCTTCTGGAGCTAGAGACCATTGCCAAGCCGCCTGCCAAGGTGTCGGCAAGAGTTTCACCAGCAGCAGTCTCGGTCTGTCCCAATTGCCCCAAGTCGGTGGAAGCGTTGGCAATGACGTTGGAGGGCTGGTCGGTGGACCAGCGGTGCTATCGGACATCAGCGAAAGGACTGAAGAGGCAGAGACCACAGCTCCAACGAGTTTGCGGAGCAGTAGACGAGTCTCAGCCAACATCACGGACACAGAAGCTGTGGAGGCTGGAAGAAACGACGAGGCCTGGCGGACTGGCGTTGCTACGGCCACAAGCCAACTAATGAGTCAGACCCAGCACTCTGGACTCATGCAAGATACCTTGAATGGAAATGCACGAGACACGATAATTAGTGAACACACATTGTCTGATCACGAGAAGACCTTCAATGCCATCGAGTCCTACCTTATCGGCCTGGAGACCCCTCCAGATGATTTGTATTTGAGACGCAACAGCATGTACAATACTGGCTTGGCTGGTGCTCAGACGACCGACGATGATTGGATTTCTAAAAACCTTAGAAATGATACTTCTGACCAAAGAACGGATCAGAACCAAGCTGATCAGACTCAGCCGAATGGCAAGATGAATACCGATGCGTATTCCGAGCCAAGTGTCAGTGAGTCTAGCTAGCCAAACATATTTTTTACTATCACTCGGCTTCCTGTGAAAGTCAACAAGAGAATGGTTGCCTCGTGGATCAGGCACTAATAGTAATGGCCTTAGTTACTACAAATTCACTTCCTCGTATTTCGTATTTTGCGTAACTCTGTATAGAAGGCTGGGCCCCAAAGACAGAATTGGTGATCTACGCTAGTCTCGAATTGGATATATCGCCTACCGAGGGCGTACGTCAGCCGCCCCAGAAGCAGGAAGTACCTACAAACACAGCGCAGATACGTCTAGGACCATCTCTATCATAGGGAAAGTAGTCACAAGAGCTTTAACTGAAGCTTCGGTTGGGAGTAATACAAGAATGTTTAGAGCGACCAGAATTGATCCTACCATATATTTCTTATTGGCTTATGGTATGAATCTCATCTGAACGGCACTCTAAGGCCTTATTCTTTATATATACCTTTGTATGTATGCATGTATGCATGTATGTATGCGTGTGTATATGTGTATGAGCGTTTGTGTGTGTGCTCTTGTGTGTGTACATATGCACACACTTCTGTGCTTAGGTGAATACAAATTTTCAATGCACTGATAGTGAAGTAATCGAAAAGCGAGCTGTATCAAGGTTGATTTACTTAAATCGAAACTAGGCGAGGATAGGTCGGTCCTCGAGCCGAGTACGTGGCTGGCCACAGGACCTGGAGAGACAAGTTTCTCAAGCATCAAGGCGCAATTTGACTTCGGCCAACATATCTACTGCAAATGGTGGGCACAGGGGCATTGTGAGAACAAGTGAATAAGCGAAGTCTACGTAGATGTTGCCCGGACCCACTATTACTTCTTGAGCTGAGTTAGGTGGCTTGACTTGATAGGTCTGATGACAGTCTTGATATGTTGTTTTCAAAAAGGCTCTAGAAACCGCAGCCTTAATCGAATTCGACCAAATTGTCTCAGTGAGTCAATCAAGAGTAGTGGTAGGTCTTGAAAATTTCACTCAATTTCCCACAATAAAATGAGTAGGCGTCATTGAAATTAACTTTGCCTTGTCCAGCACAAAATCATGATTGGACTTGACTTGCCTTCATTTAACCCACACGATTTCTTAGGCCTATTTAAGCTTCGCACCAAGGCCTGCGCCGACAGGCCGTCTTGATATTGGGCCCCCATAACGATGGACCGAGTTAAATAAGAACTTCTTCACCCTAAATCACTTAAGATATAACCTCATAGTTGAGTCTTCCCAGGACGAGATGATTTGGTCTTAGAGATTCGTTGAATTTCATCTAGCCTTGCCTCCCAAAAGGCGAACTGCAGTTTCGGCATCGCATACATCTCATCAACTCCCCTAACTGGATTCGTTTCCGCGTCGTTAGTATCCTGCCCACGTTTCCACTCAACCTCATAGACTCTGTTGATAATGAAGAATAAGAGAGAAAGAGGCAAGTCAGGTCTCTACCAAATCTTATTTACAGTGAGATTTTCGATGGGGCAAACATGTCTTTGCTATTGCAATCGACTTCGTCACTTATTTTCAGTATACGTAGTTTTTGGGAGAGTCTGTAATTGTTGACCTAGGGTGAACAAATTATGACTCAAGAACTAATGATAGTCTCGGAGCCTTCTTACATCGGAAATAAGTAATGTCGTCGATTTCATTGAAACTCATATTTACCTCATCGGCAATTCTACTAGATTTACCTAATTCCTTTGACAGATCTGATGAGACAGACCTATGTGAGGCTGATAATGCAGTTCACCCTGGATAAGAAAGCCTTTTGAGAGGCAAGGTTGGGCTAAATTAAATGGCATCCTGAGACCAATTCATATAATTATGGGAAAACTCAACTATCAGTCCTTAAACCATTTTAAACGACCTAAGACGAATAAGTTCTTTATACAAGAATTTCTTATAGTCTCTAAATCTGCTGACATCTAAAATGGATCTATTTTCTATATCGCACCTCCTATCGGAGAGCGGAAGTATGCTGTTTTTTCGTCGTAGTATCGTTTTTCATATCCTCCATGCCATAATCTTCACCGTCGCTCATTTATTTCTGATATTTAGACAATGGAATTTCCTCAGTCCTATCGCATTCTGCGTCTTCGCTCGGCCTTAATCAAAGCCAGCCCAGCTACAAATCTCAAGATATTCATTCGGACGAAGCTGACGAGGTCAGTCTGAACAAGCAAGATATTCACCTGCTCTCGTTTGTCTCCTCATTGCTGCACGAGACGGAACATACAAAACCCCAGCCAAAGGTCAGTCAATTTCATTTGTATGACACTAATGAGCACGGTTAAACGACTTCAGGCTTCTCGGCACCTTCAGCCAAATTGAACAGGTTGAAACATCGTTTTAACACCTTGTAGGGCTGAGGGAATGACATTCATTCCTGAGACAAATGTAGGGGTTAATCGTCTTACTTCATTAGCTTGTGCACTGGTCTGTCTTTATTTATTGTCTGAGCATAGAATAGATAGTCGAGTTTTGTTTATCCACTTATTTTTTTACAGAGCACTAAATGGGTCTGGGAAATGGGCAATTTTTATAGGAGGACCACAGAAAGATCCTTCTTCACTCTCATCCATGAAAACCTCGGGTTGAGGACATGAAAAGTTGTGCTTCCCCCAAAGTCGCTAAGCCTCAATATCCTTTCCACCTGGTAAATCACCATTGAATTTTCTTAGTTGCTTTCACATAATAAAAGACATTAACCAACTCCGAATGTTTTTTATCACAGTGTGACTCAGCCTCCTGTCAGTAATTGTCTTTTAGGGTTACAAAGTAGATTCAAAGTGAACTATGCCGAATCTTACAAACATGATCATGGCATGGAAACTGGCATCTGATCTAAGGAAATCTTTTCTTGGGCTTGTTGCCATTTCCCATTCCTGACTATAATCCATTGAAAATTTGTCTTCTGCACTTTCCTATATTTAAAGTTATAATTTGAGGGTAAATCATGGTGGGTTTTATCTTCTGATATTTCCTCAGTGATTCGGCGACGGTTTGCTCAAAGTACTGAGCTTATCCGGTCTTTATCGAATTTCACCGGTCTTCCAGGGCGATAGTCGCCAGCCAAGAGAAAGTCGTATGATTCGACTCTAATGAACTATTCTTGGCATGCCATAAAGACCTGTGGATGCTCCTTATTGCATTATTGGCCTAGATCAGTGTATAGCAGATACAAGTGACTTATATTCAGATTGACCCATCTGCGATATTATCATTTAATATTGAATCATATTTCTTGTCACTCTTGGTCAAATAAGGTGATGAAGGACAGATAGGTGAGTTTTCTCACAGTGATATGATTGGCTTAGTTTCCCAAAAGATATTCTTCTTTATGGGTCGGATGGGACTCAGACGAGGTCGAAACTATAATTTACCATGGATGAGAATACGTCTTGGGAGGCAAGGCTAAGCGAAATTCATTGGCATCGGGGAGCCATTGTGGGAAAATTCAGCAATCGGTTCTTCTCCACCTTATGTGACCAAGGTTGAATACTTTTATTATCTAAATGGATCATGCAGACAATGGACCCCGGACTAGGTGCGTTCCAATTAGTCTTCCTACCAATATGACCGAGTTG